AGGCCCCCACCCAACCCAAGGACCCCCATCCCCACCCAGTGGTTACCCCAGCACCCCGAGGTCGCCGCCACCACCACCCCAAGGACCCCACCACCCACCACGGGTGCCCCCAGCACCCCGGGGTGTCCCACCTGTGGTGTGGTGGGCCACGGCCTTGGCCAACATGGTCTTGCCGCAGCCGGGGGGTCCGTACATGAGGACACCCCGCGGGGGGTCAATGCCGATCTGGGTGGGGACGCAACACCCGGGGGTGACGTCACGGGTCACCAAACGTCCCACCCTGCGGCGTCGCGCGGCCTCACCTGCTTGTAGAGCTCGAAGTGGGTGAGGGGCAGCTCCACGGCCTCCCGCACCTCCTGCTTCTGGATGTCCATGCCCCCGATGTCGGCGTACATCACGTCCGGCTTCTGGTCTGAAATGGGGACAGGCCATCAGCGGGGCACCTGCCGGGGCCACCACGGTGGCCGGGGTCCTTGGAGGGCGCTGCGTGGCAGCCTTGGCCACCAGAGAAGAGCCCCAACCAGACCAGGTCACCTGGGAGCTTGCCCAGGTGATGGTTGGGTAGCTCCAAGGATGGAGACCCACCACCCCCATCCAGGCTTCCATCCTTAAGTGGCAACCAGGACAAGAGCTTCCTGTTCCAATCTCCTCCCCAAAACACCTTCAGCCACAGTTGGTCACTTCAGACCTTGTCCACGTGATGGCTGGGTGGCTCCAAGGATGGAGACCCACCACCCATCTAGGTCTTGGTCACGGCTCCATCCTCTTGGGACAACAAGGACAGGAGACTCCTAGTGCAACCTCCTCCCCACAACACCTTGGGCCGGAGTAGGTCACTTGGGACCTTGTCCAGATGATGGTTGGGTAGCTCCAAGGATGGAAATCCACCACCCTTGGTCATGGTTCCAAGCCCTTGGGACAGCAGGTCCCTGGCCCAACGTCTCCCTCAAAACTTCTCCGAGCGGGGCGGGGTGCTCAGGACCTTGCCCAGCTGAGGGTTGGATGTCTCCCAAAGACGGAGGCCCACCACTCATCTAGGCCTCAGCCCTGGCTCCGTCCCCCCGTGACAGCAGAGACGAAAGGTCCTTGGTCCAACCTCCTCCGCAAAACATCTCCAACCAGAGCAGATCACTTGGGACAGCAGGGACAGGAGGTCCCCGGTCCAACCTCCATCTTTCCAACTGCAGCAAATCACTTCACGTCTCCAACGGACGGAGACCCACCACCCATGTAGACCATGGCTCCGCCCTCCTGAGACAGCGGGGACGAGAAGTCCCCGGTCCAACCTCCTCCAACCAGAGCGGGGTGCTCAGGATCTAACCCGGGTGAGGGATGGGTACATCCGAGGATGGAGACCCACCACCCCTCCGGGCGGACCTGGACCACGTCCAGTTGCTCTCCACCATTTGGCTCCACCTCTGGAGGTTCCTCTAAAGAGCTCCGGCCTCCAGCACCGTGGCATCTCCCCAGCCTGGCAGAACCCATGAACCTGCTGAGAACGCCCTTGGGTCCCACCACCCACAGCGCTGGCCGGCCGCTCTACACCCCGAAGCCCGGCTCCCCGGGACATGGTGGTGGCCCCAGGCGGTGGTGGCCCACCTGATGTGAGCATCATGATGCTGCTGTCGGCCTCGGGTGGGAGGACGTCCACCAGCGCGTTGCTGTGCTTGTGCAGGGCCACCGAGGCGTTGGGCTTCAGCAGCTCCCGGTCGATGGTGCTCAGGATCCGCACGTAGTAGTTGGAGCCTGCAGGAGAACGAGGACAGCGTGTCCCCCACGTGTCACCCCCACCAGG